CTGGGCTCTGGTATTCCCCCCCTCCCCAGCTCCTACCAATCAGGTCATAGGGAGCTCAGCATCCTCCGACGCCCCCTCCCACCCACTCCCACACGAACGTGGTGGGGACACACGGCGGGCAGACGTGTGACTCGGCCCACGGCACCTGCAAAGCCCCTGCCTTCAGTCTGGGGCAGGGACTTAGGTGTCCAGGCCCAGGGGAGGGGACCAGAAGCAGGCTTTGGCCCCAGTGTGTGTCCCCGGGCGCTGTCTGCAGACTCACTGCAGAGCATAGGCCTTGGGGAGGGAGCGCTCAGGGGCCTGGGCCCTGCTTCTCCGGACAGCCCTCTTCCACCCCTACCCAGCTGGGGATGTTGGATTAATAAACACTTAGACGCAGGACCCCTGCCTGGGAAGCGGGAGGGGGCACCAGTCACCTCTGAGTCAGGGACAGGGCTCCCCTTGGGCCTGGTGACTTCCAGGAGGCTGGCCCTAGCCTAGGGGCCTCTCTTGCACCCCCTCCCTGGCTGTAGCACTGTGTCCCGCTTTTATTTCCCAGCGAGTCCCCTAGAAACGGTTGGTTTCGGGGCAGGGTGTGTGGTGTCCAGGAGAATCTGCAGGTAGGGTGCATCCTAGATACCTCTAAGTTGCCACACCCAGAGAGGTCGGGATGCTGCTTGCATTCTTTGCCCTCTCTTGCTTCCCTGGGATGCCCCCCTCCCCACCTGCTTGTTCTGGTTATGTAATTAACCCAGCTGAGGCTCTCTCCCAGGCTGACAGTGTCCAGGGATGCCTGAGGGGCCCAGGGCCCTGAAGGGATTTATGGGGAGGAGGGACTGGTAGTTCCCCCAGCTGGGTGCTCATATAAGTAGATAAGCACTTGTTGGGGAAAGGTCACTGCCTGGGGCAGGAAGGAGATCAAGGTCCTGGTCTTAGTTGACTGCTCAACTGGCCATGTGGTCGTCACTTCTCTAAATCTTTTTGTTTTGTTTTTGTTTGTTTTTACCTTCAATGAAGTGGGGAGAATCGCGCGCACACACACACACACACACAAACACACACACACGCTGCAGTACATGAGCAGCTGTGCATAGTGACCATCTAGGATTGCTTGGAGGTCCCATTGAGATGGCGGAAAGCCTCAGACGACTGAAGGACCCCTGTGTGTGACAGTGGCCACTGCTTACTGAACACCTACTCCGTGCAGGCACTGAGCTTTACACGCACGACCTCACAACACCCTGTGAAGTTTCTTGTCCCAAGATCATGCTTTAGGGGAGTCTCAGAGCAGCGAATCCAGTGCTGGTGGATCTCACCCCAAATCCTGCCCTTGGTTTACTATGCTGTATGGGCACCCAGTGGGTTGGGTCCTCTGAACCAGGACAGACTGAACTGGGCGTATGTGGAAAGAACACACATCCACAAGAGAAAACATACTCACATGCTGGAAAGCCTGACTCCATCAGAGCCAGCAAACCTATCTGCCCTGGACCCACTTAGCAGGCACTGGAACAGTCCCCAGGCAAGAGGTCTCAGGCGCGTACCAGCCTCCCTAGTCACCATCCTTAACAGGAGAAGGCATCTGGCTAAGAGGTTTACTTGGATTATGTCGGAAGTAGGGGTTATGGACCCTACTTTATATGCATGTAGAACATGGCTTGGACTGGACAGCTGATTTGCTCTCTGACCCACAGCTAGGAAACATCAGAGCCAGGACTTACACCCGAGCTCTGAAGTCACTGAAACTGAGCGGGCAAGGAGCTAATTAATCCGCATCAAGGTCCAACACCGTAGCAGCCCTTTCCCGGGCACCTGCTGTGTGCCAGGCCCTCCAAGCTCAGGGGGTTGCCAGAGAATCAGACACAGCCCTTGGCCTGTGGCCTTTGCCAGCTAGAAGCACTAAGCTTGGGAGCTGGCAGTACTGACAGTGTAGAAAGGAGCAGCTGCCGATCCCAGCTGTGGGCCTGGGCTCCTTTCTCCCTCCCCTGGGCCTTCTCTCCAAGGTGGGAATACCTATCACCCAGGGTACTGTGTTGACCCAGGATAACCACGTGGGCATGCTGACCTAGAAGTGCTCAACGAGTGTCACACTCCAGAGCCAAAACCATCTTCTTAGTCCAGCGGTTCTCAACTGGGGGCGCTCGGAAATGTTGGGGGGAGTGCCTTTTAGGTCATGATGGTGACTGGAGGCTGCCACTGGCAAGTACCTCCTGACAACTGGGAGTGTCAGACATCCTGCTGGATAAAGAATTCTCTCTCCACAAAATGCCGGGTGTGCCTCCACTGAGACACACTGGCCTAGTCTCCCCCTGGGGACCAGGAGACCAAGGCCGTGGGTTCTTGCTGCCTGGTCCCAGGCTCTGTGGAAAAGCTGGGATTTGAAGCCAACTCTAGTGCTCTTTGCTGTCTACTCTGCCACCTGCCTAGGCTGGGGAGTCAAACCCAGCCAAAAGTCAGGTCATAATACAAGTCAAGAAAGACTGATTCCCACTGGTGGGGTAGACGGCAGGCAAAATGGAGAAAGAAGGATGGGGAGCCTTTGGATAGATGGGAGAGGGGTTCTGGGAAATGGAGCCCAAGTGGCAGTCACAGCTTCAGCAGAGTCCCCAAGGTGGGAGAGTAAAGGACACATCCAAGGAGAAGCTGCCCCAGCAAGCCCATCTCTTGTCCCCACAGTCCAGGTGGAGGCCGCAGAGGGCCCAGGGCAAGCAGGAGCAGCGATGGTTGGTCCTGACGGTGGCTGAGCCCCCAGCCCCTGGAATATGCAGCCCGGGGGAGCCCCAGGCAGCGGCGAGGACGCGGTGGTGGAGCGGGGCGGGAGGCATGGTCTCCACCTACCGGGTGGCCGTGCTGGGGGCGCGAGGCGTGGGCAAGAGTGCCATCGTGCGCCAGTTCCTGTACAACGAGTTCAGCGAGGTCTGCGTGCCCACCACCGCCCGCCGCCTCTACCTGCCCGCTGTCGTCATGAACGGCCACGTGCACGACCTCCAGATCCTCGACTTCCCGCCCATCAGCGCCTTCCCTGTCAACACACTACAGGTAGGAAGGCCCGCAGGGACAGTGGGTCCATGGGGAGTGGAGGGGTCAGGGAGAGGCTGGACTGCACCCCTCTCCAGACTCTGGCCCTCTTGCTGGCGGGAGAGCTCTGCACTGCACCATGGGCCACCCTGCTTAGAGCCATGCCAGGTATCCATTCATTTGTGCAGTAGTTTATTCAACAAATATTTGATGAACATCTAATGTGTGCCAGGCCCTGTGGTGGGCACCGGGGTAAAATGGTGCATAAAACAGGCATGCAGTTAGCGCTCATGGAAACTCATAGACCGGTGAGAAGACAAAGAGGCAACTGTTACATAATTCGATGAGTGCTGTGATTGAAGGGGATGTGGGGACCTAAGGCAGCCCTTAAGGGGGCATCTAACCCACCCAGGTGTGTGAGGGTGGGGGGTCACAGGAGGTGATGTCTCAACTAAGTAGGATTTAGGCAGGTCAGGGGCAGTGGAGAGAAAGGCATGGAACACTAAATGCCTGTTAATATTCTGGGCTCTGCCTTCCATGGCGTCAGACGCACGTTATCTGTAGAAGGGACAGCAGAAGGGCTGGGACCTGGGAAAGGTGGGTTCTCAGAGATTGAAACCCCAACCATGTCTCTTACCCAAAGGCCTTTTCTTTTAAGTGATGCTGTGTCCCTTGAACTCAGGACTGGCCCATGGGGCAACCTTCTGCAGGGGTTGAATTCAGATGTCCCCGGTGCCCTGGCTTATAGGGTCCAGCCTGAAGCACCAGGTCCTCCTTCCTTCTGTCTACCTCTGGCTTGAAAGGGGTGGGGTGCAGGAGGAAGCTGAGCCCTCAGACATGTTGGCTCACCAAAGAAGCCCCTGAACAGATTGTGCAGACTTTCTCCAGGAAGGAGAGGCACAGTGGAGGCCCGGAAGGCGGGGGCACGGGTTTGCCAGTTGTAACTGTGCAATACAGCAATCTTTCGGGCAGGGTTGGGGGCTGGGATGGGGCTCAGGGTCGACACTGTCTTAGCAACTCCAGGCAGGAGGGCCTTGGCTCAACCTCAGGGACGCTTGTCTCTCCTATCCCAGGTGTGGGGGTGTCAGCACCAAAACCAAACAAACAAAAAGCCTGGTCCCTGCATCACCCCTTGGAAACAGTGAGGCCAAGGCAGTGGGTCCAAGGTCAAGATTCCAGCTCTCCTCCAGAGGAGGCTAACAGTAGCCTGAGTGGATGCACAGATCCCACTCTGGTCCTGTTCATTGAGCTTGGTTTATTTTTTCACATTTTGTTGTGTGCTTATTTTTAATTTAATTTCTGTTTTGAAATCAGCAAGATACAATTTTAAAACCCAAACTTTGTAAAAAGGTACACTCAGAGAAATCACAGTCCCACCCCTGCCCTCCTCACCTCGATTCTTGCCCCACTCTCTACAGCCATTCTCCTTGGCTTTCTATTCACACTTCCAGTGTTCTCGACACAAATAAGAAAATGTATTCTCATTCCACTCCCCTTCTTGCACTGAAAATCAAACAAACAATAAACTGTTCTGCACCTTGGTTTTTTTGGCTGGATGTTATAACCTGGAGATCTTCTCATGTCAGTATCTAGAGGTCTTCATTCTTTTTTCATGGCTACACTATATTCCATTGGAGAGGTGTTCTGTGGAGTCCCCGCTTGTTGGACAAGTGGGTTGTTTCCAAACTTTTGCCATTTCAAGCAACGACACCATGAATAGCCTTGTTCATATTCACTTTGTACATAGTGGGGTGTATTTGTGGCATCAGTTTCTGGAAATGGCATTGCTAGGTCAAAGGATAAATGCAACCAGAGTTTGGAAGGTGCCAGATTCCCTCCCCTTCCATAAAGGTACACACGGTGTGCTCCTGTGAGCCATGTTATATGAGCACTCGCTTCTCTAAAGCCATCGGAGTGCATTTTCAAACTTTTAGATTTTTGGCAATCCAGTGGATGAGATAGGATGGTCTCAGTGTAGTTTTTATTTGAATCTCTGATTATGAGTGAAGTTGAGCCTCTTTTCATATGTTTGAAGGCCTTTGCCTTTCTTTTTCTGAAAACTATTAATGCCTTTGCCCATATTTCTTTCGGATTGTTGGCCTTTTTCTTCCTGATTGACCCTGAGCGCTGGACTCTCCAGGCTGTCCAAGACTTCACTCCTGGAACACAGAAAGGGACTTTGAGCAGAGAAATACTGAGACAGGACTCTGCATGCGGCAAAGATCAAAAAAATAAAACCCAAGAGTCCCTATGGCCACTGTCTGAAAATAAGGACACGTTCTTTCCCAGTGCCGGATGAGATCCAGCCCAGGAGAGCAGTGTTTCCGGGATCTGAGCCTCGGGCATTGCTTCTGCAGCCCCTCTCCTCCTACCAGAGAAGGAAGCTGAGGTTAGAGGGCATGTGCAGCCCACCAAAGGAATAAGCAGTGAATGCATGGTTGGCACCCAGGTGGCTGAGTGTCCTCAGCTCTGTGTCCTTAGAATTGGACTCAGTTTCCATTGCTCGTCCTCTGTGTTGATACAGCCCCAAGATGGTCTTTTACCATCTAGTATGCTACATGGAGCTAGCTGGAAGGAAAGCTGAGCTTTCCTGCTTCCTCTCTTCAATCAGGGGTGAAGGGGACAACGTAGCCAATTGAGAGCCTTCCTCCTGTCCCTTTTAGGAGCCCCTCAGGAGGAGTGGGTGGGAGGCAGCCTGGAGGCCCCCTCGAGGTAGCATGTCGGGGGAGCTGTGGGGCTGTCACCCTCAAAGGCTGGCAGCTGTTCCCTGTCCCCAGCACAGAACTGGAAGAAGGTGGGAGCCTCTGCCTCTTTCCCCCTCCCTCCCACTTCCCGCTGATCTCCACTCCTTGTGTGGGATGGGAGAGGAATGGTGTACATGTGGGGGTCCCCAGCTCCCAGAGGTCACTGTGTCCAGTGGAATGCAGTCTTTCCTGGCCTGAGAAGTCAGTTTGTGGTTTCCTACGGTTTTAGATTTGTCCTCAGCCTCTTCCCCCTGCACCAAAGTTAAAACTCAGCACAAAGAAAAGATGCCACATCATCTCCCTGGAGAAATCCACTGCAGCAGCTTCTAAGGCTTTGAGTTGGGAAGTACTTTTCTGGAGTCAGACTTAACTCTTCATCACTGCCACCAAAGTCTTTCCCCTTTTAATCCTTCTCTGCAGTACAGAACCAGCAGTAGTCCTTCATGCCTGGTTCCTTTCCCAACGCAGCTCATAAGCTGGCACAGGAGATATACCTGCACCTCCTTCTGGTCTCTCCCCTGGGCCCTAGTTCCTAGAGAAACTGTCCTGGGAGGCCTCTGCCTCCCCCAACTTCAGAGAGCTCCTTCTTTCCACCCACTGGCTGCCTTCTACTGCCCTTGCAATTCCCATCTGCTGGCAGGTTAATCAGCTAATTAATCTGTTAAGGGACCTTCTCTAGTGCACTCAACCTTTTCAGGGGCCTATTCCTCTTGAGCTGCAGCCCCTCCCTGAGAATTTGCTGCAAGCGTTCGGGATGTTCCATCTCCCTGGAGCTGCCCTTGGACCCTACTCTACATCAGCCCCCATTTTGCATCCAATCTCAACGTTTTTCTTCTCAGGCTTTCTCCTCAACTATCTCGGTGGAGCGAACTGAAGGGGCGCATCGGGTAGCAATCTAAGGGCAGCGATACAGGCCGGAGTAGTGTTGATCCCAGCAGGGACCAGGTGGGGTTCAGGTCCACGGAGAGCTCACCGGCCTAGGTAGTGCAATTAAAGCGCTTGCTAAGAGCCAGCTGGCGTGAAGCACTAAGGAAAATGAGGAAGGCCAGGCTCTGGCCCTCTCAGGAGCTCACAGCAGAAGTGGGGACCTGGGGATGGAAACAGCCCTGAACAAGGTATAACTGAACTGTTCTTAGAACACAGTGGGATAAAGGGAGTAGTCCCCTGCTTACAAGAAGACTTCTTGGAGGAGGAGGAGGCATTTGAACGGAGGCCTGGAAAGAGAGGATTTCAGTAGATCCAACAGCTAGCTCAGGGCTGGGCTCTTAAGGGGCACTTAGTAAATGTACTTGAATAAAGGACTGGTCGGATGGATTGGGGGACAAAATAGGACAAGGCAGATCTCAGCTCCAGGCGTGCACAGGACAGAGTTTCCCTGGAGATCAGACAGTGTGACCTGCCCTATCCTGGCTTGGAGGTGGGGAAGCCACAGCACTGAGCTCTTCCATTTTGCCCTGGGCCTGGTGTCCTAGGGTTGGGTGGGTGTGGAAGGTGTAGGGTGCAATGGCAGGCGAGAATTCTGTGTATGGCTGGAGGTGCCTGGGGGCAAGGGGAGCCCTCATGACTGCTCTGACCTTGGTACTGGCTGGGGCTGTTGCAGGAGTGGGCAGACGCCTGCTGCAGGGGACTCCGGAGCGTCCACGCCTACATCCTGGTCTACGACATCTGCTGCTTTGACAGCTTTGAGTACGTCAAGACCATCCGCCAGCAGATCCTAGAGACGAGGTGAGAGGCAGGGATACAGTCTGTTGCTACCTCAGTGGATGCCCCAGTGCTTGCAACTTCCCATGAAAAGGGTTCAGTGGGAAACAGATGAAGTGCCCTCTAGTTCCCACATATAGACTCAAACACACACACACTCACGACACTTTGCTGTCCCTATTTCTGTTAACCCACTTTGGGACCCTTACCAAGGGGTGGCTAGTCTAGTGCAGTGGTTAAGAGCAGGGACTGCCGGGGCCACTCAGCTGCATGACTTTAAGCCAGTTAACACGTAAGCTTCAGGTTCCTCACCTGTAAAATGGGGGAAACAATAGTACCCACCTTTTGGATCACTTGTGCCAGCTAGAGAATGTAACGTACCTCAAGGGCTTAGTGCTATGCCTGGAACAGACGGATGGTGGCAGTGTTTCTGACCAGACACGGCCTGCCTTTCTTGAAATCCAGGGGTTGTGGACTGTGGGGTTCTGAGATTCCCACCTCGCCCCGCAGGGTGATCGGCACCTCGGAGACGCCCATCATCATCGTGGGCAACAAGCGGGACCTGCAGCGCGGACGCGTGATCCCGCGCTGGAACGTGTCACACCTGGTGCGCAAGACCTGGAAGTGCGGCTACGTGGAGTGCTCGGCCAAGTACAACTGGCACATCCTGCTGCTCTTCAGCGAGCTGCTCAAGAGCGTCGGCTGCGCCCGCTGCAAACACGTGCACGCCGCCCTGCGCTTCCAGGGCGCGCTGCGGCGCAACCGCTGCGCCATCATGTGACGCCGCGCCCCGGGGCCGCAGCCCGGAAAGGCCCAAGCGGGGAGGGGGCAGGAAGAGAACTCCTACCATCAGGCCTGAGACGCCCCTGCAGCCACGCACCTCCCCAGGAGAGGCAGAGGGCGAGAGGGAGCTTCCCCATAACTGCCCAGTCCTCCCCTCCTGCGTCTGTCTTCCTGGGACGGCCACCTTTAGTGCTGTAGTTAGTGCAGTACCCGGCCCGGCCCCAAGGGGGCGCTTCCGCCTTTGGGGACTGGGGGTGAGCGGGTGACATGAGGGTGGGGATAGAGAGGTGCTGCCTTGGCCTGGCCCCCACCCACCTTCTCCAGAGAGTGTGTCTGTCATTGTCCCGTGTCTTCCTTTCCAGTGTCTGTCTACTCGTCCAAGTGTCTGTTGGTCCTCAGCTGTCTTACCCACACTCTCCACCCCCAGCTTTGTTCACAGGGCTCTCATTTCGTCCATCTCCTTGTCGCAGATCCTGGCAGCTTCTTTAAGAGGCCAGCCTTCTGACCGTCAGCACCACCGGCACAGGGCAGAGAGATGCGGGTGGCCCAAGGACCTCAACTGGGGTTCGAGGGTTGAGGTCCTAGATCAGTCAGGGGGAGAAGGCTGAGCTCTCCCCCTTCCAGGGAGACCTCCCCGCCCAAAAGCCCCCAGAGACACAACAACCTACCTTCCAGCCTTAACTCGATGGTCCGTCCCTGCCGGGTGCCCCTCACCCTCTTCCTGACCCTAAAGCCAGATGACCCCTTGGGTTAATTTTTTTTTCTTGACCGTATGGAGAGGGAATGCGCCAAAGGATAGATTTATTTCCACGATGCCAGGTTCCAGCCTTCTGTTCCCTTCTGGATTAGGTGGTCTGCCAGACTGGGGGATGTTGGGTTGGGGGTGCTGGTGGTGGGCAGGCTGTGGAGGGAGTGGGGCAGTCAGATTGTGCCAGTGAAGGCTTTCCCCACCTGACCCCAATCTGACTGCCCCAGACCCTGCCTGCCTGGAATTTCAGATTATCCTGATTGATCTGGGGAGGGGCAGAGCCAGGAAAAGAATTACGGGGACCCCTGTGCTTGGGGCAGTTATGCTGGCATCCCCACCCCTAGGCGGAGGCCCTCAGGATCTGATGCCCTGTGTCCCAACACCAGTTGGCCCTATGCCCTGACTCACTCCGCCCCATTTTCTCCGGCTGCCTGGCCAGTTTCTACCTCTTGTCACCGGAGCTGATCACTGTCAGTTTTGTACTGATTTAGAAATAACAAAAATAATGAAGATACTGGTAGCAGCCTGAGGGATTACTGGGGGATTTGGAGGGTGGGAGAAATGGTGCGAGGCCCCTGCTCCCTAGCCAAGTTCTCCTTGAGGCTGAGCCCTCAGCCCTGCTCTGGTGGAAGGATAGTTGGGTCCCTTGTTAGAAGAGGGACAGATAGAACAATCTAGCCTTGATGTAGTCAAGCTGTGGCATATAGACCAGGAAACCAGGTAGCCCAGAGTGGTGATGGAGAGGAGTCTGGGGAAGGGGTCATGGGCAGCAAACTTATTATCCAGATCCAGGGTGAGAGGGAAGCTTCGATTCTCTCTTCTGCTTCCCTAGGTGATTCCCCCTCCACCCACTGGGGGTAATGCAGCCTGACAGTGACTGCCCTGACCTTGAGCAGTCCACTATTTGGGGATTTTAGTCCGTGCTGGGCTGCATGACTGGGCATTGACCTGCCCTCTCTGAGCCTCCCTCTGAAGCAGAGGAGGTGGCTCCCCTTCCCCACACCTTGGAGTGGCTGGGAGGGTAAGAAAGAGGGCTTGCCCCCCTTTAACCCCTGTGTCCTTGCCCCCTGATTCACCAGGGGGATGGGGTGAGGGATGGCAGCATCTCACCTGCCCCATCACTGTCACCCCCATCTCTGAGGCACCTGAGGTTGGGGTGAGGGACCCAGGCCTCTGGTTGCCCCTTGTGGGAGCCACTGGAATGTATTGCCTGGCTGGCCCCCACACCTCCCCCAACCTGCTTCACCTCAGATCTTTGATTTTGATCCCTTTCTTTTGCCCCCATTCTGAGTCTCTGTCCTCCCCCACCCCAACCCCGGGTTTCCCACCACAGGGTCTGGAAGTGTGTGTGACACCCATTGCGCTGTGATCGGAAGTCAGATTAAAAATCAGGGAGTGTTTTCCCTCGTTTCTGTACCAAGGTGTTGGCTCAGTTCCTGCTGTGGGAAGGAAGGGGCTCCCTACAGGCCCTGCCAATAGAGCTCTGGAAGGAGAGTGTGGGTGATGAGGTGGCCTGAGTCCTAAAGCCCAGGTCAACCAGGAGAACGAAGGGAAAAGGGGAGAGTTTGGGACTCATCTCCTCTCCACCTGCCACCCCACCACCAGCCCTCCAACTGATTGAAAACATCCGGAGGAGAAGCATAACGTCTCCCCCTGCCACTATCTTGGGAAAACTTTCGTAAGTGGACTCAATCTCAGCTTCTGCTTTGTGTCTTCCTCCCACTCGTGACTGAGGCTCTGCAGCCCCTTGTCCCCCAGTCATAACTCCGTGGGTGAAGATGTGTTAAAGAACGCTCTCAACCATCCCTCTTGACTCAGTGATCTCAGTTCCCAGCCTCCAGAGCGAAGTTTTGAGGTCCTGCAGAAGCCTATGTCAGGGTGGCCCCGTCGCTGTCCATGGTGCTGATGCAATAGTCGCTTCTAGAAGAGAAGGGCTATCTGGCAAGGTTGGCTGAGTCTCCAGAGGGGAAGCCTCTCTCACCCCCCAGCTCCCTCCCCCTTGTGTCCTTGCCCTCCAGTGGGAAAAAATTTGTGGCTAAACCTTCCTGCACCACCACAATCCTAGAGTGAAGAGCTGGGGACTCAGGGAAAGACCCACCTGTGTTTAATATCTTCTAAGAGTTGTGGAAATGGTGGGCATGGCCAGAGAACAGGAGTTTGGGGAGCTGTTCTGGGGGAGGGTAGCCCCACCACCCTGGGGTTGAGGTGAGATTTGTGCTCAGCTGAGAAATCTGAGTCAATACTATTTGTATTCTAAACTAACCAGGACAAAGCCCTGTACTGAGTTGAGGGAGTTTCCCTTCTGTTCCTGCAGTTGGGAGTGCAATGGTTACATGGGCATCTCTTCTCTCCTCCCCCACACCCACAGGTTCAGGGAGGAAAAGCCCCTTCTCAGACCCAAGACTCATCCTCAGGTGAGAAGGGAGCTTGATCAGGCCGCTGAGGCCCCTGGTCCTCCAAAGGCTGGGAGCTGCTCTCCAGTGGGGTGACTGGCTTGCTCTTCTCCTTTCCTTCTTTCTTCTCCGCCACTGGGGCTCCATCCACCAGGGCTGCCTCCTCTCCCTTGCTGCCTGGTGCTGTTCGCACCAGCCTGCCCCTGGGGGGTACCCTGGTGGGACCCAGGTGGAGGTAGGTCAGCGGCTTGGGGATTCGTGAAGGCTGCTTCCCAGGCCTGTGGTCTCTCCGGGGCCGGATCTTGGGCCTCAGCTTCAGCTTGTAGATGGATGGGACTCTCTGGGGCTTACGGAGTGTTCTCTTGCCCCTGCCTGGACATGCCTTGGCTTTATCAGAACTGGGATTGGAGGGTGAAGGTGTGGTGGACTCCGGGCTGACAGACACAATGGGGGCTGAGCAGTCCAGCCCCGACTGAGCTGGGACCTCCCTTGTCCTGGTGCCCTTGGCACTCAGACTTGCCTTTGTCCTCCACCCATTTTCTCTGTCTCCAAGATTCCCTTTTGGGCTTCCTGGGCCTGCAGTTACAGCCAGCTTATGGGAGCCTGTAGGGGCTGCCTTCCAGGCTCCCAGGTCCACTTTAAGGAGGGGTGGGGGGCCCTGAGCCAGTTGTTGGATGACTTTGTCATAAGGACCCCCAGGCTCAGGCCACCGCCCACCCAGGCTGGGGACATAGACTCCACTACGAGGAATGACCCCAGATCCTGTGCCCTGGGGGTGGGTACCCCCCACCTCTAACAGCTTCATGTCAGCCAAAAGCTCTTCCTCAAGTCTATGGTAGATGGCTTGGTCCTTGGTCCCACCTGGGAGCAGGGGAGTGTACCTCCCCTCCTGATGCTGTGGGCCCGGTCTCCAGAGCTCTCCAGCCCCTGCTGTCACCGGAATATCCAGCTTATGGTCCCCTTGCCTCTCTTCCACAGAGCAGTCCTCATGTCTGGACCCAGACAGGTCCCCAGTGATGGCCCTTAATGGAATGGGGCCTCTCTGCAGTTCTGTCGTGGGACTTCCACTTGAAGTACCTGGAAAGCTTCTTCCTGGAGTTGGGGGAGGAGCTGGGGGCTGCCGGACTGGGATCTTGGTGGGTCCTTTAACAGGGGTTGAAGAACGGACAGATGCTGGCTCCCTGAGCTGAGAGGAACCCTCCTCAGCCTCACCCCAGGGTGGTGGCCTGGCACCCATGGGCTTGACTGGGCTGGAGGAACAAGGCAGGGGAGATGGTCCTCTTGCTGGTGTCCCTTTGGCAGTGGCCTCAGGGGCTCGGAGTCTCTGGGTGGTGGGGGTCCTGGCATGAGTTCTCCGCCTATCTGTCTCCTCATGAACCCAAGATATGGGAGTCCTTCCCCTGGGGAGCTCAGTGGGGTATCTGTTGTCTCTCTTCTCCAAGGAGGTGTGAAGGTCTTGGCCCCTATGGGTGGGTAAGGATTGGGGGCTGGGTGGGCTGTCCCCAGCTTGCAGCTGACTCCGAGATGGGGTGAGCGACTTCTCCTGGTGCCTGAAAGGGAGAATCATAAGGCTCGCAGGATCATTTAACCTGGTCCCCTGGCTCCCAGTCCCCTGGCTCTGAGAAGGGATGGCCTTTCCCCAGCCAGAACTCCCAGGGGGTCAGACTTCATGTTGAATGAAAGCAGATGCTCTTTCTCCCCCTGTGTCTGCCAGAGACTCCTTACAGCAGAAACTGTTTAAGCCTATTCTCCCCCATTCCTTGTGTAGCAGATAGAAAGCAGCCTGTTCTGGACACCATGTTGCTTCAGATCCCATAACTACAGGCCACCAGTTTCAGGTGGGGAGGGTCTTAGCTTCTGCTCTACCGTGAGATGACAGAAGGAGCTAAGGTTAAGTCTGTTCCCTTTATGGGCCTCAGCCTCCTCATCTGTGAAATGAGAGGGCGTATGAAGTAACTGGATCATCCTAAAGGTACTGGGTGCTTTTTTGGTTCTGAACACCTGAGGTCTCACTGGGGACTCTGCTGGGAGATCTGTGCCCCTTATCTTGGGGTGGGGTGGCCCCTGAGAATGTGGACTCCAAAGTAGGAAGAGGCCCTGCCCGCTCCCTCCCCTGTACCTCGGGAAAGGTGCTGTCTCTCTTAGGATCCCTGGCCCTGCTCTCCATCCAGGGTGGGGTCTGGGGAAGGAGGAGGCGGGGGGCCTCAGCTTTCGGCCTGAAGCAGTATATGTCTTCCAGTCCACGGAGGGCAGTGGGCTCTGGGAGCGGCTGATGGTCATCGTAGGCTGGGGCTGCAAGGGCCCATCCTGCACCCTCACTTCGTGCTGCACCGATCGGGTAGGGGGCTTCAGAAAGCTGCCCGTCTTGTGTGCTACCAACACAGCCCCCAAAGAAAGGAGAGGAGGAAAAGGTTAAATTCCTTCTTATGGGGCTCCCACACCCTGAACCCCACATTAGAGACAGTGGGACCTACTGTGACAGTGACAGCACCAGAACTTCCTTCTGGGAGGGGTTTAGGAGATGAAATCTGGTCAGAGGGCCCAGGTGGGGGTTTGTTTAAAGTTGCATTTGTATTGCAAGTCCACATCTTTTACTTAGACTGAATGCTTATTGGGGTGGCTTGAGGTGCTGATGGAAATTACAGGAAGACTAAAGACCCCTCCAAGTCATGCTTGGTGCCACCAATGTGGATATCAGAGCCAGACTTCATTCAGCTTTGCCTACGTGCACCGTGACCAAATGCCGGTGTGTGGCGCCATCTTGTGGCAGAAATTGGTACTGCACCATGGCTGCCCCTCCTTCCTCCTAAAGCTGAGGCACCCATACCATAGTACCTTCTACAGTGTCTTCGTTCCTCCATCCCCTGCACACTTCTTGGCCCCAGAGATCAGACCTACCTCCCACCTCTGCTTCTAGCCTCCCAACCCCGAGCCACAGAGAAGAGACTCTCAGGGGACTCACAGAGGGATGTGCATCGGCAGGGGTCATGTTTGTCCAGATAGTGACCGAGTGTGTCCCAGCCGCCCCCAACACGCACCATCACGTGGTTCCGGAGGATCTGCAGGGGGTAAGGGTGAGGTGGAGGGCAGGGTGAAGGCGTCCCCTCTCCCTGGACCAGCCTGCAGGCCTCCAGCCCTTGCTCCTATCCACATACACAAGCACACGCGTATAGTTGGGAACGTGTATGTGTTGCAGCCTGAGTTCCCTCCATGACTGGCATTGGATAACACATGTAGTGAAGGGTGAAGGCCAAGCTGACAAACAGGAAGTTGTCCCACAGGACACAAGGGATCTCACAAGCATTGTGGAGGCTGGCCCCGGACTCTTCTCTCTCTTCACTGTGAAGAGGTTCACACCTGCACACACTTGAATCAGGAATCGGGACCCTGACTTTGCTCTGTAGTTGGTATGTTAAAGAATCCTGGGAGTCCTGGCGCCACTCCACTCCATGTAGTCTCTCCAGGCCTCCATTTCCTCAGTGGAAACATGGGGTCACAATTCCTTCCCTACCTACATCACAGGGCTCTTGGCTCCGGCTCTGGGTGGGGTCCAGGGAGCTGGCTCTGCCCCCAGGAGTGGCCTGGCCCCAGGGGAGGGCTTAGCCATGCCCCTGAGCTGCTGGCCATACCCTCTCCCGATGCAGACCCTTTCTGTCCAGGCAGGCCAGGTATGGGGCTGGGTAGTGGGAGGCACAGTTCAGACCTCTACCACCACTCACACTGCAGAATGTGCCAGGCTGTGAGGGGTGGGCTATGCAGTCCACGTGGCTGGATCATGCAGGGAACACAAAATGGGGGGACTCAGGCCCCTTGCTCTGACCAAGTCTGTGGATAGAAAAGTGGGAGTACCCTCATGCCCCACTTCTGCCTAGGAACACCCTCTGAACTAGGCTAAGGTGGATGCAGATGGGGCTGGGTTTTGTGGTTCTGGCTGCCCTAATGGGAGGAGGGGACATGCTTGCCAACTTTGCCAGGAATCTTCTGGAATTCTACGAGGGAGTGAAGGAAGGCCCCAAGGCCTGAGAACTGGGGGTGAATGGTGATTTCCAGTCCTTGCCTTCAGGCCTGGGCAAAGTCCATGGAAGGAAACCCGATTCTGCTGACTCCAAGGAGGCCCCTCCACACCCCCATTCCCCACCCAGCCCGTCTACGGACTTACCCGGATGAAGATGAGGGTGTTGGAGTCTCCCACGCGGTACTTCCCCTCTGACACTTTGACCATGGAGAACTGAACTGGGCATGTGCAGTGGCTCACCAGGCTCTGAACCTGCGGGGAGTGGACAATGTGTTCAGCCCTCCCCTCTGCCCAGGTACTCAAGCTGCCCCTGCACCCTGCATGCTGGGTCAAGTCCAGTGGGGGAGCCTGCCCGCCCCTCTGCCTGCCCCCAGCCCCAAGGCTTCTGCTGAGGTCAGGTCTGAGGGCTGAGAAGCAAGTAGAGAAAACTTTTTTCTTTTTAAATTATGGGTTTATTTGATTTTTTAAATTTATTATTGTATTACTTAATTATTTTATTGGGGGGAGATAATTAGGTTTATTTATTTTTAGAGGCGGTACTGGGGATTGAACCCAGGACCTGGTGCACGCTAAGCATTCAGTCTATCACTGAGCTATACCCTTCCCCCCTCCGCCCCTCAGAAGTTTTTTTTAAAGACTCAAGGAGAACAAGAAGTTGAGTGATCACCTACCCCACGGCTGTCAGAGGCGGTGGGGTGTGATGGTTAAGGAGGTAGACCTTGGAATCAGACAGGTTTGTGTCAGGAGTCCTACCTCCACCGCACCATAGGTCTTAGGCAAGTTAAGATAGCCCCCTGATTCCTTGGTGGTAGAAGTGGGCTAGTCCCAGTCAGCGCTAACTCCTACCACACGTCCCTCCGTGCTACACACCAGCCTGTGCGCTGGCTCATTTAATACCCACAGCGGTCGTGGAAGGCAGGCGCTGCTACGACCCCACAGTCCAGATAAGGGAACCGAGGCACAGAGAAGGCAAATAATTTGCCCCAAGTCACACAGCCGCAAAGCAGTGAAACTAAGACTTGAAACAAGCTGTCAGAAGGTGCGGAGTCTGTGTTAACAACCGTCCCGCGGGGCTTAAATGAGAGAGGTGCAGCATGCTGGGTTTACAATAAAAAATGAGGCGGGTTGAGGCTCAAAGTGAACATGAGTTACTAAAAGCCATGCAGCGGCTCAGAGGGGACCCGAGAGGGCGAGGGAGAGGAGGGCGGGGCGAAGGGGCGGGGCCTTGGGGGGCGTGTCCGGGGCCCTCACCATCTGGTCCAGGTTGCGGAAGTGGCAAGACCTGCGCGTGGGGCGCTCGGGCGGCGGGGGGTCCGGCGGGGGCAAGGCCAGCTCCAGCCGCAACTCCTCGTCGATCTCCTCCTCCAGCTGCACCAGGGTGGGCGCCGCGACGCCGAAGCGCCAGGCCCGGCGGCCCAGCTCCAGCAGGCACAGCACCACGTTCTTCACGTTCTTGCGCAGCACCAAGTCCTCCGTCTCGAACATCAGCACCTCTAGAGGGGCAGGGAGAGAAGGAGGGAAGGCAGCCGAACCCCCTGCCCACTGCTGACCTCCCCGGAGCGGAGCAGGTGGGAGAGTCCTGGGGCCATGCTGGAGCCAGGGGGCGGGGTGGGGGCGGTGTTTGCACCTCAGGGTCTTGGAGTCAAGCTAGCCCCTAGGAGGGGTCTGGGCAGAATTTCTTGTCTAATAGGAGAAGTGGGGGTGGGAAGAGGGGACACAGCCAAGCAGAGGACCCTAAGGCCACTCTTCTCACTCTGTTTGCCAGGGTGAGTCCAGGAGCAAGAAGCAGTTTGTCCTGCTTCCCACGTTGGCCTCTGCCTCCAGTATCCACCGGGCACCCCAACTCAACCCCCAGTTCATGCATAACCAGGCTCTGGAGCCCAACTGCCAGCACTGGTATCCCAGCTCTCCCACCCCCCAGCTGTATGACCTTGGGCTACAGCCTCAGACTCCTCTTCTGTAAAATGGGGCTGTGGTCTATTTCATAGGGTGGTTGTGGGGATAGTGGTTCCATGTTTGCACACAATGTCTGGCACGTGGTAAGAGCTTGCTAAAACATTTGCTTTCATCAGCCCTCCAATCCTGGTGGACCTGACCCCTGCCTCTGCCTCACTGCCACTGCCTTTGGCCTGGAGGATAGTGTAGCATCCACCTTTGTCCCCGCTGCTGGGTCCAAGGCCAAGGAGTCGAGGGATCCTGGTATGTCACTCTGTGAGTCTTACACTACTAGCCCCACTTGCCTCCTCCCCTGTCTTCTCCCCACTCCACTGTAGCCAAACACATACCTTCTCTGTGGGCAAACTCCCTGTCCCCCAAACTTCTGTTTATTCTGTCTTCCCAGCACAGATGCCTCTACTTGAGCCTCTATCTCATTGGGCTGTAATTGATGCATCTTCTCAGCTGTTTCTCTTCCTGGGCCATGAATTCCTTGCCACTGGGTCTCAGTTCTCTCAGCCCTCAGTGCTCAGCATGGTGCTCAACTTGAAGAACATAGGTGCTCAAGTCATTCAGCCAACACATTTAAATATGGGGGATTTACTGTGAGACGGGGAAACTGAGGCATGGGGAGGGGTGAGCTGGCCCAAGGCAAGTCTGGAAGGAGGACCCTGTCTCCTGACCCCTGATGCAGCCCGAGGCTCAGAAAGGAGATGGACACCTGAAGATAAGGGCCTGGGAAGGAGGGGCACAGGGTGGTTACCTTGGATGCCCATCTCCTTGCGACACCACTGGATGAAGTTGGAGACATTGTCCCGGGCCTGGAAGGTGCCCGGCTGGGCAGCCCCATTGCAGGAAACCCCCATCCGAGGCAAGGGAATCCTTTGGGCTCGGGCAGGTTCCTCTGCCAGGAAGGCCAGGGCGGCCTCAGTGATGGCATTGGCATGCTGGCACAGCACCAGGCCCGTCTCCAGCACCTGCAGGAAGTTGGCCGTGTCGATGTCCAGCCCGTAGAGATCCCGAAGCCACTCGGCCAGGTCCTCCTTCATGGCCTCCAGGTAATGCTCGCTGGACTTAAAGGGCCGGATGCTGCGCACTGGAGGCCCCGGAGTCCCAGGCCTCCTCCTCCTGTGTGTCCCAGGCTGGGACATGGCTCAGCCGGGGAGGAGGTGGGCGCCTCCTCTCTCCCACAACAGTCTCTGGCTTCTTGCCACCTGCTAGTTCTTGGCTGGTTCTCCCTAGGGTTCCCCTCTACCCTCTGAGAGCCCAAAGCTTCCAGCTCTGTTCCTTGCCACTGGCTTCAGCCACTGCCACCACTGCCACCAGACTGGGCCAGGCCCAGCCCCCGCCCCCCCACATTCCTCAGTCCCTGCCAGAACTTTCCTACTCTGTAGCCCTTCAGCGACCTCACGCCCCAGCTGCCCAGTCTCCTCAGAGGTCGCCACCTCCCAGGGCAGATGGAGGTGAGGACACTCCTCTCTCCCCCCAGGGCTGGACGGGCGAGCTGCCTGCCTCCCACCCCCCACCGGCTGGCTGTGGAGTCTGGCTGTCGGCCTCTCCACTCTGCTTTCCTCTCCTTGGAGACAGCGGCTGCTACAAACACTCCTTGTTAACTCTTCCCAGCATTGCCTGCCCTGCAGCCCAGGGAGCAGAGGAGAGGCTGGGGCTGGCCTCTCTCACTCGGCTGACCCAGTGGGGACTTCTGGAAAATGGGGGAGAGAAGCAGGGCTGGGGGTGCCTATGCCCCTTGGTATTTAGTGGGTACCGGAGGATGGGGATGAAATAGATGCAGCCATCGAGTCCAAACATGTGAGTTTGGCCTCAGATCTTTTCCTGAATCGCTCTGTGACCTTCATAAATGACCTACCTTCCCTGTGCCTTAGTTGCTTCAAATATAAAGTGGGAATAGAGATTTCTACCTCTCTGGGGTGATGTGAGGAATAGAGGAATAATGGATGTGGAAAGTATCAGACTGTCAGGACTGGGTGGGTCCAGCTCTCACCGATTTTCCCAGCAGCCCTCTTTGTACACCATGATTCTCACGTTCTCTGGGGAACCTGCTCCGTTTTCTATAAGGTGGTCAGGAAAGTCCTCACTGATACGATATTTGAGCAGAGACCTGAGAGAAACAAGGAAGCAAGCTTTGTAGATGTCTGCAGGAAGGGTACTCAGGCAGAGGGAACAGCCAGTGCAAAAGCTTCGGGCAGGAGGATGCTTGGCATATTACAGGATATGAAACAGAGAGGAAATGGAGTCTCAGATTATGCAGGGCTTTTCTTTACCTTTTGGAAGGTAATTTTCTTTCAATTACCTTTTAAAGGCATGAAAATGATGATTGTTGTACCCATTTTATGGATGAGGGAACAAGAAAACTGAAGCTGGCGGGAGGCCTCAGTTCCTCACCATATGGACCTCTCTGTAGGGATGATTGAGTGTCCTTATCACATGGCAGCCAGCCTTCCCTAGAGGGAGAGAGCAAGACAGAAACCACAGAGGGGAGGGTATAGCTCAGGTGGTAGCGCACATGCTTAGCATGCACAAGGTCCTGGGTTCAATCCCCAGTACCTTCTCCCAAAAATAAATACATAAATAAGTAAACCTAATTAACTTCCCCCCAAAAAAAGAAAGAAAGAAAAGAAAAGAAAGAAACCACAGGATCTTTCATTAACTAGCCTTGAAACTCACACTCTGTCATTTCCACAGTATCCTGTTAAGTTACCCAGCTCAGCCTTATTTCACATGGGAGGGGTCTACATAAGAGCATGAATACCAGCAGACAAGGGTCGTTGGAAGCAATTCTAGAGGCCGGTTACCCCAATATAGACGAGCAATTTCTTTTCCTTTCTTGCTAATAGAATCCTATTTTGTTCAGGTGGAGGTTCCCGGAAATTAGAGAAGATGAGCCCAGCCCCAGAGAGAACCATATGCCTCAGCCAGTCATGGCAGAGTTAAAATGGAAGTTCCTGCCAAGGTGCCAAGATCCAGTATGTGCAGCAAACCACAAAAGGAGTAAGGCCACATGCAGAATTTATCTGGGCGTTATCCAAAGACAGGTCATTATCCAAAGACTCAGACCTCTCTCCCACTAGAGTATTCAAGGAATTTGGTTGCTACAGATCAGGAAAGGATTGGCAAGAAATTGCAGCTGTGCTGTGTGTCCTGGGGTAGACTGAATATGGCCCCCAAAGATAGCTGCTCCCTCACCCCCTAGGACCTGTGAGTGTTACCTTATGTGACAAAAGGGACTTTGCAGATGAGCAGATCCTGAGATGGGGACTTAATCCAGACCGTCAAGAGGGACCCTAAATGAAGTCACTAGTGTGAGGCAGAGTGTGGCTTGCCTATTGAAGTAGATGTGATGACCGTAGCAGAGATGGGAGCAGTGGGGCCTTAAGCCAGCAACTCCGGCAGCCCCCAGAAGTTGGAAGAGGCCGGGAATAGATTGCACCTTGGAGCCCTGCTGACACCTGGCTTTCAGTCCTGTAGGACTCATTTGTTATGACAGCAACAGGAAACTAATACCTATCACCATCTCTTCCCCTCCCCACCAAACAGGGAGAGAAACAGACAGATGGGCTTCAATCAAAGAACTGAATACATATCCCCAGTCATCAGGGGGACTCAGTGAACTGAAGTCTGACTCCAGCATGGAAAACTGAAAATGTGAAATACAGTCCGGTTAGGTGCTCCATGGCAGGAACGAAGGAGGTTGGCTACACCGAACTCAGGGGGTATCTTCTCATAGTTTGAACAAAGAATGCATGCCTGCTTCCTTTGGACCGCTTGTCTGGCCCCTATCTCGGACTTCTCAAGTGAACTGATAAATTTTATAAGATTTGAGCCATTATTAGTAGGGCATTCTGATACATGACCAGCCATACATATCCTAATTGACTTGATTGATGTTCAAAGTGTAAGAGGCCCCATTCTCTTTATATGAACAGAAAATGTTTTTACAGCTATTCCCACTTGGGTAGCACTTACACACAACCTTATTAGATATCTCTCCTTGTAACTTATCTTCATTATTCAGCTAAAACAAATACTGCTTCTCTGTGTAACCTAGTTATTGGAAGTTAAAGAGCTGCTTATCCTATTAATTTAAAAATTAGCATTTACTGAGAGGAGGGTATAGCTCAAGGGATAGAGTGCATGCTTAGCATGCTTGAGATCCTGGGTTCGATACCCAGTACCTCTTCTAAAAATAAATAAACCTAATTACCTCCCCTCACCAAGATAAAATGATACAATAGTAAATGAGTAAAATACTTTTAAATTAAAATTTACTGTGAAAATCGAAAAGTTGTCGCTTTACGTTTGATAACTGACCTCATTTTGAGCTCTGGAAGTGATTTCTGTGAATGGCAGAAAATCATGCTTGAGCTTGCCGATGAAGTTTAGTTCATTCTCTTCTGGTTTTAAGTAGTGTCTCTTGGATACAGATCCAGTTGATTCTGAAGTCATGCTCATTATCAGTGCACTTTGTCCTCATTCAAGGGGTCTCCCAAGGTGGCATCTGAGAGCATGAGGCATACGTGTGTCTCTGGCGTTGGTGGGATTGCTTGCCTACACCCGTGCTTTCACAACATCTTGCTACTCTGTGAGCCCAATTTCCAATGTGCTTGTCTGCAACTTTTTATGGAGGCTCCATGACCCAAAATAGCCCTAAGAAGAGGGAAAGAGCACCCTCAGTATGACAAAGGACTTCTGGGCACTTGAAGTGGGGGAGCATGAGATGAATGAGCAGACCAGGGCTACACCCACAGTGATGCCTTGGCAGGATGCTCCCTAAAAGCCACAGCGCAGGCTAAGTGTCTTGGATGTGCCTCCCGGGGCATTAAGTCTTAGGCAGTGACTCAAGGAGATTGCCTGTGGGAGAGTGTCCGGGGGTGACCCCAAGTAGTGGCCTCTTATCCGAATGGTTCTTGTGGTGTCATCTGGACTGTGTTCATGGTCACCAGCCTTCCAATTGTCACGTCTTCTGGCCATTCTGTGAGCGCCTACTCTTCTTTAAATTAGCCAGAGGGAGCTTTTGAATTTTGCCATTAAGAACCACAGTGGCTATAAGCTCTTTTAGTCCATGTTAAGGAGAATGGGGGTGTTTTGGGGAGACAGTTCTCCATGGGTCTTCCCTGGTTTTGCATGTCTTGCAAGCAGAGGCACTGACTTTTCAAGGGCGTTGATATAGTGAACAACCTTGGAAGATACAGTGTCTTTTTTTTTTTAGAGCAAAGAGCAGGTTTGCTTACTTCCATAAAAGATTAGGGATCCCTAAGCTCAGGGTCCCTCTTATTATCCAAACCACTGCATATGAAGATATTCGCTGGCACCCACCCCTGTGGCACCCATGGGACAATGGGCCAAGAGGAGCTGATACAAACATGCTGATGATACTGTGCTGTAAGTAATGAAGTCCTTTGTCTCTGACCCAGGAGGCTCATGTTTTTTGGCAGAAACCATGAAAATACATCAGGCTAACTTGCTAGCTTGCAAGTAGGGTAAAATTTTAGACTGTTTACAGTTCTTGCCAGGGCTGCCCCCGTGTGACTAGGAGATTCCTGGGGACTGGTCTGCTCTCTTTGTTCTACGTCCCACCAACCTGCCTCCACCAAACTGGGAGACACCTGAAGGAAGAGACCCCATCTCCTCACTTCAGACTTGGATGGAGGATGGAGGACCATATGGTGTTCCCCTATCAGAGTGGGATCTCCTTGAGTCCAGCAACTGCATATAATCATGCTGAGACTCTCCAGATCTGGTTTTGCATCCTCTGCCCCTCTGCAGACTCCTGCCTCTGCCAACACACACCACTGTCAGGCCAGGAAAAGGAGTTTCCCCAAGTTTTCATGATTTTATTCCCTCTCCCAGCTGCAGCTCTTGTACACACATACAGAACATTCAGGAGCTACACCTGGCTCTTGCTGAGCCCTGCTTCCTATGGGACTCGGCACTATGTCCTCTGCTCCTTGGAGCTAAGGAATGAGCTGGAAGTAGGTGGGGTGGGGAGCAGGGGAAGGAAAGAGATAGAACAGAAAGAGAAGGAGAGAAAATAGTGATGTAAGTAAATGTAATGGGTTAAGTGCTTTCCGAGGGCGAGGTAAAGCCTGTTGTTGCACTGCTGTCTCTGACTTACAGATAAAGAGATTGAGGGTCAGAGAGATAACATGCTAAAGTTCAGATAGCTTTTATATTTATGTAGTAGAGTTGGGATTTGACCCCAAAGTCACTTTCTGCCCCTTTTAATACCTTCCCAAGACAGAAGACAGGGTTTGGGGTGCTTCTGGAAGCTCTAGAAAAGGCAGTTATTCTGGGGTGGAACTCTATGGACAGGTGAGGTTCTAGCCCCGCCCCCCTTGTGAGCCGACAGAGTTCCTAGAAACCAGACCAAGTTCTAAGGATTCTGGTAACTCCTTCTTATCCCAGTGCCTGATCAGGGGAAGAGGGCAGCACAGCCTTGGGAAGAATGGATAAACACGGTGAGTGGGGCTGGAGGACAGGGGACTCCAGGGTGGACCAGTAAGCCCATCACCATGGCAAAACCAGAGTGGAATTCCCACCTTTTCTCAGTTACCCATCCATGTACAAGTCCTCTCCTCTCTCTTTTCTGAATACCCTTGAAATCTGCTCTCTCATCTTCACCTGATGCTGTTCAGATCTTTGTCTTCTCTGGCCTGGACCACTGTAATGACCTGAGTGGGTCTCTCTCTGTCTCCTGTCAGAGGAAACATCCTAAAGGTGGCTCTGAGCACATCCCTGTTCAGTGGCTCCCCACTGTTGAAGGACAAAGTCTACACTCCATAGCCTAGCCCCCAAAGTCCCAATCTTCCTTTCCAACTCCCCCTCCTGCCCAAATGTTCCCATTACCCCTCTCTAGCTGTGTTCTAGGCCTGGCCTTTCACAACCAGAAGGATTCTTAATGTGTTTTCCTAAATAAAGTGCAATGGATGCTGGTTCTCCACCTTTAGCAACACCAAAAACTGGCAGAATCTTTGAAACAACTTTTCTTGAAAGATTTCAAAAGTCTTGGATGAAATTCAGAGGCCCCAGTGTTACCTACCTCATCACCTACTGAGAGTCGGGCAGGGAAGATGAAGGGGCCCGATGTAAGAAGCGGTTAGCTGGGTAATTACATACAATTGGTGCTCAATACACGTGGGCTGGAACACTAGCCTTATTATCTTTCTCGTTTGTCTCCAACCTCTTTAAACAGGGTGGCAGGGATCAATTGAAATTTTTCTTGACCTTTTCAGGGCAAACCCCAGGAGTTGTGTCTTCCCTGCCCCGTTCCCCTTTTCATTTCATTACAAGTCTAGCTCTGCAGATCCAGCAGACCAAAGGGCACACAGTGGGCTGGGCCAATGTTTGCTGAGCGAGTGGTAGACACCTCCTGGCCAAGGCCAGGTTACTTTCATATCAGCCCAGGAATTTCCCACCTGCCAGGACTGCTACTTGGGATGGTAGAGTTTGTGCCCCGAACGCCAGTCAGCAAGGGGGACAGTGGTGGCTGAAGTCCAGCTGACAGTTGGGGTCAAGCCTGGAAGATGGAATAGACACTCTTTCATGGTTGGCTCCCTCCCAGGGCAGCCTTTTCCTAATTGGCTTGCCCGTGGGGGTGAGGGAGGTGGCAGATTTCTATTTAGTCTGCTCATAAGGGGCACTTTTCCTGATTGTTTTGCTCATCGGAGGAGCCCTTTTCTAGTCGTACAGAGATGCTGTATGCCCACCCGCTTGCCCGCCTAGCCGCAGGTGATGCTGGGCTTCCTTAAAGCAAGGCCCACTTTGAAGAAGACAAGATATAAACAACCACCTATTAAAATGCCAATCAGTGCACTTAATGTTTACTGACAGCCTGCACAGCCCACGAGAAGGAAGGCGGTGATGAATTATCACCTCTAGGATCGCAAGCCTCGTTGCACCTGCTTGTTCATGGCTTCCCGCAGCGCCCAGGACAGGACCCTGTTACCTGCCTTACAGTAACCCTTGAGATAGGCACTGTTTTCCCCCATTTTACAGATGGGGAAACGGAGCTTGACAGAAACAACGGGACTTGCCTCAGATCATTAGCTAGAAAGTGCAGGAACCAGGGAAATCAGGCCCTCCTTTGCCAGGGAAATCCTGCACTCTGTAACCCTCTCTTGAAATCTTGCTGGCCCCGAGCATCTCGTACGCACGGTCCTTGGGGCCCCTGACTCTTTGGGGGGGTCGGGTTGCGGGCAATAGTCAGGGTACCCCAACCTTTTACTGACTTCTTCCCCGACCCACCCACCCAGCAGGCGTCAAGACCCCCCCTGTGGAAGAAGGAGCTGGAGGAGCCCCGGGCCAGGG